CCCCCCCCCCCCCAAACCCCAAACAATCTCCAGCATAAGTGTGGACTGTGTTTCATTTACTTATACATCTGGGGAAACGTGAGTCATGATAGAGAAAATAAAATGCTAACTTTTAATATAGCAGACATCTGTGAGTTTTAGCCAGATACTGGAGAATGACTGAGATTCCAGAACAAACATACTTATGTGCAACATATAATGCACATCATGGCTCAATTAACTATACGAGCTGAAAGCACAGGAGAATCCTACATTCTATGAATTTATTTACACAGAAGCTAGAAATAGTCTCCTAGCTATGAAATAGCATAACTTCAGAACACCAAACAACACGGTTTTATGAAAGTATCATGGTAGATTGCCCCAAAGGAATTGAAGAGTCAGTGTCTTAAGACCTGTTGTGATTAAAAGATCAGTACAGCCAAAATGCCATAAGTACTCTATATTAGAGGTCACCATCTTCTCAAGGGTGGGTGCCAGACTGCATTTTTCTTTTCCAAATTAGAAATTAAGCATGCCCAAAGAAATTCAGCATGTGCTAGAAGATACTGGCTTTCAGAGGCAAGATGCTACTGATCAGTGGTAAGTTATCTTTATGGAAAGCAGTTTATAACACAGTTTGGAATTTGAAGCTTATCTTTAAAACACTCAGTCATCAAGTTGAGCTTCCTATCACAGCTGAAAATACATATAATTTTAATTAGCATTCTATGTTCTTCCTTTCTTCCTCTGTGTATCTAAGCGTCCAGCTATTCTCAAGTAGCACAAATTGTCTTCCTGGTCTCCTAGCCTCTCATTAATGTCTGATACCCACTGGAAGAAAACCTAGTAGCATGAGTTCCCAAACATATATTCCAGGAAGGAAGATGTCCTGCTGAAGACCCTCCTTCCATGCATTCTTGAAGAAAAGTGCAAAATACACCCTTGGAAGGAGGACTGACACAATCTATTCTTCTACCCTAGCCTACAGCACAGCTGTTACAAGACCTAGAAAATCCAACATAGACAGAAGAGTCATCTGTCCTGGTATTTGCTCAAAAGCTATGTCAACCTGATTTCAAGCAAACAGTCTTATTCTGTCTGGACACTCTAGCAGAAGCTGGCATAAAGTAGCTAGCATGAAGTCCACTGCAATATGGGCAGCTAAAAACTCTTATTTAAACAGGCCGGTAATATTCAATGTTTTTTTATATAAGTGCTTGAACATTTTTGTGACACATAAGCAAACTGACCATGCATATGGTTCCTCAAAGTAAAAAAACAAAAAAACCAAAAAAACCCCTAAACACCAACCAGTCAAAAAAACCCCCACCAAACCCCAATGTAAAAGCTAACTCCTAATTGATGCTAGTAGGTAAGAACTTATGGAAAAGTATTATCCCTCCCTTTGGGAATGGTCTTGACTGATACTGGATAAAGAAGTAAGATTTTTGAAGTTTTACTCCATTGGAAATGTGCACCAGCCATCCCTGCTGGACAAGGACATTAAAGGTCACAGATGTTGGCTCTGCAGCAGACCAACTTATTCAGCAAAGAAACCAGCCAACCATTAAAAAAGATTTTTTTTTTTTCACCCCAAAACACACGTCTCAAGCCATGTCGATCCACAGGGGGAACAGAAGAATTTATGCTAATGAACTCTCCTTTTGGACAGATCTTTACACTCAGTTCAGCAGAAAATATTAGTATGAAGACCACGCCTGTACAATTTTAGCCAAAGTACTATTTATTGGGCAAAAAGAAGTAAGAAGTATATCCTCAGAAGACTTTAAAATCCTGCCACTTTTCTTTTGTGCTTTTTGCCCATCTTTAACACACTGCTGATCAGGTCAGTAAGCAGGCAGAATTCTTGTACTATTATCCTGTATTATTAACTCTCAGTTCCCTGGTTCATGCTAAAGTAACTAATAAACTGTCCACCTGTTATTAACAAATGCAAATAAAGAAGTAATAAATGCAGTTTGAAATACAGGATAATAATAATAATGGGCCTGCTGTAATAGGACAAGGGGTAATGATTTTAAACTAGAAGAGGGTAGATTTAGACTAGATGTAAGGAAGAAATTTTTTACAATGAGGGTGGTGAAACACCGGCACAGGTTGCCCAAAGAGGTGGTAGATGCCCCATCCCTGGAAACATTCAAGGTCAGGTTGGACGGCGCTCTGAGCAACCTGATCTAATTGAAGATGTCCCTGCTCATTGCAGGGGGACTAGACTAGGTAACCTTTAAAGGTCCCTTCCAACCCAAACCATTCTGTGATTCTATGATTTATAGTTCCATTATTTTACCATTTTTTATTATTATAAACCATTTTAACATATGATTTCCCTTAGGCTTAAAAAGTTCTTATGCTGTATTCAAATAAGAGTCCAGATCTAGAGTTAAGGCTTCTTAAATACAAGGAATAAAATACTCCTAGCCTACAACTATAGTTAAGACTCATAAATAACATATTAGATTACAGTGAATTCAATATGTGAATTCCAGAATCAAATACTTGGCATAAAGATGTATACTTACAACTAAGCTTTGAACTAATCACAGAAAGGAAACTAATATGAAACAAAAACTAGACTTATTTTACCTTACATGTATTTTGACTCATCTGGAGTTTCACCAATTTAAGGAAAATAAGTAAATTAACTGAATGTTCATCTGTTCAAATGTTGTTGCAAGTATACATACAAATTCTGTTATCCAAGACATTATCTATTATGAGAGTACACCTACAAACATAATTCTGTATTAAGTTTTAATAACAATCAGCAAAGTTAAATTAGAGAAATAATGCGTAAGAGTAGGACTTAAACATTTCACTATTTGCTTATTTCCTACTAGATGCAGTTATGACACCTACTTCCAATACCACTTTAAATTTAATTTAGCTAAAAAAATGCATTAAAAGCTCACATAAATTTTTAGAATAAAAACCTTTTGCATGGGATTTGCTTGCAAGTCTCCATTCTCTGACAAGCCAAAGTCAAGTACTCCATCATCTTTTTGCCCAATGGCCTTAAGACCTTGCAGAAGTATTTCTCGGAAATGCTGATAAACAGGTTTCTCTTCATAGCTCAGTAGCTTCACCTTTTCCATATATTTGGCTATTTCATCTAAAGAAATGGTACCTCCAATTAATTTCTATTTGAAAACATTTTATTCATTCATTTTTACCACAAAAGAGTCAGAAATTATGCATGCACTACTTATGCTATTTTTTGAAATGGTTATTTATAAACTCATAATTATGACTTTACTACAACACATTTTAGAAAAAAAATTATACCAAGGTTCATTAACCAGTTATGACAGCATCACTGGTTTTTTTACACATTCATTGCAATGAAGAAAACAGTCATTCGTAAAAAATGTAATAGGCCAATCTTCACCAATGAATGCTTCTTTACATGATATTTCTTATGTCTGTATTTAAAAATGTTGAAAAGGAAACTCAATGTTATCTCAGAACTTCATCAGTTCAAGACTGAAGCATATATTAAAAAAAAATACATGAAACATTTAATCACTGAAAAACCGGACAAGTCACACTTGACAGAAAACTCTCTTCTGATCACCAGAAGTAGCTGGAAATAACAAATATTTAAGTTTAAGATTCCAGGAAAGTGTATTTCTAATAGAGACAGGTTTTTTTTTTTTAAAAAAAAAAAATCTACTCAGCAAATCCAAATGCTGAATGTCCAATTGCAAAACCAATGCCAAATAGAAACAATCTAGATTTCAAGTTCATATTACTTTATATTTTGAATCTCTACAATTCAGTTGTGAAAAATCAACTTGCACATTTCATGTTTGCAAATACTTGTCTTGCAAATACTGTCTTTAGTCAGAAGCAATAGAGTGTCTGCAGTTCATATAACTGCAGCCAAAAGGAAGAGTCTAAACTTCTCCTAATCAACCATCTAATCCATGCCACTTTGTTGTTGCTGACAAAAGAATAATAATAGGTACAAACTTAAGTAAGCAAGGAGGACTTAAAGAAGGAACAGATTAGAGCACAATGCCCGAGACACACCTCAGGAAAAAAGTTGCTGACAGTCTGACAACTCCTCACCTTTTGCAGCAACTGAATTGATCTGTTTTTATTTGAATACAGAGTAGCACAGCCTTCCCTTGTGCGCACTCAACGTACCCCATGTAAATATGAATTTCAGAGCTTCTACCCATTGTCTAAAGTTGTCTACAATTCGGTGATGGCACCCAAACAATTGATGGATTTTTTTTTTTTTAAAACAAAAAGGACATTAAAACAAATTGTTAGAGAATGCTTACCACATGGTACAAAACAAAGTATTTTAATTTAAAATACCTCCTCTTACCTGGTTTATTTTTCCCAGGAAAGCATTTGTCCATCAAAACTGAAATATTATCTCTACATCTGAAAAACAGAATTATTCAAAACTACTGTTTCTTTCAAAGTTTGAATCTTGCCCTGTTCTGATAGTCTTCCTAAGTACCTAGCTTGGGCCACTGTCATAGAAAGGAAACACTACTAGATACACCTTTGGTATAACTTAGCACAGCCATTTTTAGGAGTGCAGTACATCTGAGAACCTGACAAATGTCAGACAGGCTATCTCAAATATGCTAAGTTTTTGTTAAACAATTTTTGATTCCTACAAAAGTAGAAGACTTACTGAAAAGAACTGGTCCATTTTAAACCCTCATATATCAATGCTCTCACCTCTTCCTGCTAGAGGACTCTTTCTCTAGCTGATATTATTCAGAGCAGACCCCCTGCCAAAATAATACCTGGGAGGACGTGGGGGGGAGCTTTGCTAACATTGATGGAGGCCAAAGTATTAAGAGTAGAGATAAGGAAGCCAGATAACAAATACTTGTTAATGAGACAGAAAACTGCTGTGCTGGGACAGCTTTCTTCATATTAAATACCTGACAAGAAAGGGTTGAGTGGGGGTGGAGGGAAGACAAAGGAATGCAACAGTGAGGGAGAGGGACAAAAGAAATTTTAAAATACTACATTAGTAGCCCTCTAGCTGGAATGATGTTCAAAGACATTTAAGATCCACCCTTAGCTCCCATCTCTGCCACTGACTTCAGAGTATGGTGTTATAAAGGCTACTCATACTCCATGCTTCGGTTCTCTTTCTGTAAAGCAGGACTAACGGTTACCTGCATACTGATAAGAGTGCTTTGTGGCTTAACCATGGCAGTATTTTATCCACCACAGTACTGTCACTTTAAACAAGCATCTCACATATGCAAAAGAAGACAGAGTAGAACAGTACAAGTAAAGTTTAATTACAAGCCAAGGATACATGAGACACAATGAAGGGAAACTGGGGGGTATACAAAACAATAGCCTGCTAAAAAGGGGAATGTACTGAAAGTACAAAGCATTTCTATAGTAAGACATTTTCATTCCTATTTTCAATTTCAAAAGAAAAAGAAAACAAGTAGTTGCTCACCTGATTTTTGAGTCTCTGACAAAATTTGGATCTTTCAAATTATCCTCCCACGGTAGATGGCCACTAAGCCAATGAATCATACAGTAACCCAAGATCTCCAGATCACCACGTCTTGATGGCGCTAAATATATACGCACACATAAAAGAACCGTAAGAGCAGCTAATAAAGCACACACAGTTTAACAACAGTGAAAATTTGTAAATCTGTTAAGACAATAGAAAGACAATGCTAACAATGTAACACTACTGTATCTGTTACTTATTTCTTTATTTTAGCCTGAAAGCAAGGAAAGAAAAAATATTGTTCCTACATCTGGAAGGATAACTTCATTTTCAAGTCCTTTATCAATCTCTTTCTTCTACTCAAAGATATGACATGCTGCAGTTATCCCAATTTAGGAAGCTTTTTAAGTACTCCGATTGTGGAAAAAATAGAGCAAGTTAGTGAAGTGATTGACTTTCTGTTCAAAACAGTTTTTACTTCCTTTCTTCTATAAAAAGGTAATAATGCTAAAACTCCAGCTCCTGAAAAAAGTATTCCACAATGCTGAAATATTTTATGTGGCCTGAAAACTGAACAGAAGATAATAAGAGATCAGATCCCTAAGCTTTGCCAAAAAAAAAAAAAAACACACCCCAAAAAACCCCCAAAATCACCCACATGTACTTTGACCACAGACTACACTAGAAGCATAAATGGGAAATCAAGTCATCTTTGTTCATGTTCAGTTTTAAGCATAGATGCAACAGCTCATGCTGAAGTAACGAATAATTTTCAACAACTGATATTTTTGCAGGACACGTTTTTACGCTAATAAAAAGAAATTTAAGAATGAAGAAAATAAAATTGGTGTTCACCATAAATCCTGAATGATTAATCAGGCATAGACCTGTCCTTTTCATGTTCAACCTTTTCTCACTTCTTGCCTTTTGATATTCAGTGACTATACACATAATTATGAAATAATATTCAATAAATATTATTGTTTTAATTTCATAATTATTGTATATTTCATAATTAAATGGATTTTCATGAAAAACTCTTCTAAATATTAAGCCATAAACAAGAGAAAGAATATCATGCATCTTTGCCAAATATGAAGGAACAATGTTCACACTGATAACACAAACTATTTATCTCCTAAAAACAGGGCCTGTTTTTCTATCAAGATCTCATAAGCACTATTCCATTTCTACTTAGTTAATAAAAAGCGACACAGTAAACATCTTAACAGTCTTTATAAATTAAGGAAATCTATTTAAGAAAGTTACATTAAAGATACTGTAAATTAGTATCAAAGTAAAAGTTAGTAAATGGAAAAAAATAAAAATTCCAGCATAGTCCATACAGAAGAAAAAATATTTTTATCGATTCAGAAACACGGCTGTTTACAAAACTCAATGCAGCAAATAAAGTCTTTTGTGTTTATAAAAAGGATGCACAAATGCTTATTGCCAAAAAAAAAGTTTTACATCCTTACCCACACCCTTGTGTGCATCAATACTGGTATACTCAATAGTTCCATCATGACACCTTTTAGGATCTTCTTTATATACTTTGTGAACTCCTTCAGGACAGTATCGGTAGGCAAGTCCATAATCCACCAAGTACACCTGGTAATTTCCACAAAGAGTTTTAAGATTACAAAAACCATAAATACAAAAAATACATAAATAATAAATGCAACTCCCAACCATTCTCAGAACTTCTTAAAAAGTATTAAAAATGGTGATTTTTTTGACTTTAAATGATCCTTTCCTCAGTGCTTTATTGAGATTACTACATAGGATTCAAAAACAATGTGTCAGATAGGTTTTGTTTTCCATATAGCAGTCTGATCTGGAAGTCATTTCTTCCTGATGCAGAGGACAAGTACAGTAAAATAGTCTGTTACTAACAGCAATAAAGAAAAAAGACATAATGTTCACAACGTTATAAATACACTTACTGTCCTCCCCTCTTTAAAGTCAGCTGTCCCATTTGAACACTACTACATACTATTACTCCTCACTAACACCACAGTTACTTTAAGAGAACTGAGATTATTTTACTTATTTCATGAGCTAAAACATTTGGGCAAGAAGACATACATAATTCTGAAACTCTAATATGCATTGTTTGAATAGTGAAGAGAATTAAAATGCAGAAAAATGAAAGACTTCCATAAATCAAGTGGAACAATCAACACTTTAAAGACCAATTTTTCCAAGTAACAGAACACTTATCTGATGGATTTCTTGAACAAAGGAATGAGGTAACAATGCAGACAGGCAAACATAATTTACCAGTGTGCTATATAATTTTAAGCTTCCACCTGCAAATACCTATTTGTGAGTCGATTTTTTTATAATCTTTTTATAATTTTCTCTAGAATATTATTTAGGGCAAATAGTCAATTTGATAACTGTCCAGCAAAATGCATAAAAAATATCATAGAATATTAACTAGATATAAATGTCAAGCAGAAATAATGTTACCATATACATTCTTAAAAATGAGCTTCTGCTAGATTTCACAGGTTCAAAGCACTTCCATGTGTTGTCAAATAGAAGGTTTAAAACACGAGGAATAAAATGCATCAGACATACCTGATGAGGGTTCTTGTAACTCACAAGAAGATTTGAGGCCTTGATGTCTCCATGCACATATTCATGCTCATGGACGTATTCCAGAATATCAAGCTAACAAAACAAAATACAGTCATATAAATGCAGTACCCAGCTCCACCCAGCAGAGGACCTGTACTCAGCACAAAAGTGTGATTTAACCAAAAGACTTACACAGGGAAACCAGATTGTAAAAATGTATTATATTTTTTAAACTTACTATTCTCAGGCCTAATTGTAGTACAGTTTTATGGGAAAATCGCTTTGCATTCTCTTCATACATCTTCTGAAGATCTCTGCCAAACCGGTCCATTATCATAAATCGATAACTAAATTCAAGGAAAAAAAAACCAACAGCAAAGTTACTGAATTGTACTTAGCAAAGTATTTTATCTGTGTGTTAATTGTACAAATTACTGACTGAAAACATCTCTCTCAGAAGATAAACTGCAGGTATGCAGAAAACAAATATATGGAAAATACTTGACTTTTTTTTAATGTTGTACATCAATTCTTAACTTTTTTACATCAGCTAGTCAGAATTTCTTTATTCCTGGCTAGTTATGCAATACAGTAACAAGTACCCACAGAGGAAAATATCTGTATTGTAATTCACTGTAGGTAAAACCAAGCATCAATTACTTATACAGTAAAAAAATATATTTCTCTAAATGACTAAGTGGCTTAACATGGTTACTTAAAAAAGTTAGTTTCTTGAAATCTATTACAACCTTTTCTTAACCTCTTATTAAAACCAAAAATCTCCCACTTGCCAAAGGTGTTCTGATATTCATTGCTACAGCCAAACTGGTTCTATTACTATAAAGGCTCATAGTAGCTACACTGTAGAATCTCATGCATTAAACACTGAATGCAAGAAAATGTTTATTTGGGAGGAAAAAAAGAAAATTGTTACATTTACTTTTGCCTCTCCAAATTAATGTTGTTTTTACATTAGTTTTAAAGTTGAGGACCTACTGGAACAATAATATTTCTGACATACTAGGACACATACCAACTGCCCTATGTAGTGGTCCACACAAAGAAGCCTGACCTACTATAAGCCGCCAGAGAACTACTAAAACTTCTTGCAGCATAGCTGTATACAGAAAGCCCACTAGGAAACAAGGACTGTTACATAAACAGGCATACCATTCAAGACCAAGGAAAAAAAAAACCCTTCATGACATGGAACAATACTAAAAACTATCCCTAGACTTAAAACGAATTTAACATGAGACTAGCAATTATTCTAGCTCACAAATTAAGTAAAAAAACAAACCTATCCCTTGATAGGAAAATAAAACAGATTTAGAGAGAGCACTAAGTCCTTTATATGTGTGAGTAAAAATACTCTTTAAGTGCACACCACAACAGAAGAAAAACTTTAAAGGCAGTCATATTATTCAAGGACTTAGAAGTCAACTTTATTTTAATTCAAATATGAAAAGCTTCTAAACCACATATATATAGCATCATTGTATTACAGCAGTGTTCAAGACAAATGAAAACTAAATCACTAAGAATGTAGTATACACAATTATGAGTAACACAGAGTACAGATAATTATCTATTCCTTAAACACACCCTGTTATGAACATGAAACTTTGTAGCAGAAATGAACAACATGAAGATAGGTGGAAAATACATCTTATAAAGTAAATTACGTTAAAAGGGATAGTGGTTGTGGATTAAATAAATCCCAGTATATTCTAACAAAAGATATATTCACCTGCTTCCATTTTTTTCATGCAAGCCAGAACCCCAATATCTTGGTACACCTAAATATTTCAGTTTATGGGACTTAGACCACTTCTGAACTGAAAATACAAATAAAGATAAGTTCATGAATTCGCATCAGGAGAGACTTACATAAAAAGAGAGTACTCACATCACTTACAGTTTCTGCATACATGTGAGCTGCTTATTTCATGGAAACTTGTATGCAAGGTATACTGGAAAGTTAATGACATATCCATTGTAGGACAGAGATGCAACTAAAGTTTCGATTTAGACAACACCATGAACACAACTATAAAGAACGTCTTACCAAAGAACCCTAATTTTACTGTATGTCTGAATTATATTTCAATCATTTAAAAATAATTTTTTAAATTACCTAAAAAGATTCTTTTAAAGTTCAACCTTACTCCTGTAGGCTCTATTTCCCTAAATGCTTGTAGTTCATTAAAAACATTTTAATAGACTGCTTACTTTCATCTGGCTTAGCAGCTCGCATGTAGAACTTTAACTCAGTAAAAAGAGGTCCATTCTGGCTGGGTTCCTTTAAGACAATTTGAAATTAGTTAAAAACTGCTGTGTTAGCGCCTAATAATTATTAAAAGCTCACAAAATGTAACATTCACCCTATAAAAGCATATTCTCCCTCAAATGTTCTACCCAGTGCTGATAAATTCAATAGAATACGTTCTTTTTATAAAAGAAGGCTGGCTCTAAAGTTATTTTTATTATAGATTGCTTAACATTAAGGGTATCAAAGAATCATTTCCCATAACAAAAGATTAAAGCATAACAAATTAACTGAAATATATAGAATTACCACCAATAATTGGCAGCAAAAGTTTAGCAGAGAACATTAAACAACATTCATTATCTCAGATTTTCCAGATTAAAGCTGGATTGTATCAGTTGCAATAGCAGTTAGTGAGCCTAAAATAACACCTGAAATTATTTGATGGAAAAGTCTTAACAAAAGTTAAATTCTTGCTGAACATAAGCTATTTTGTTCCCTTCATACATTAGTTGATCAAGGTAAGAATTGCAGAGCATTTTACAATTTCTGTTAAACTAAATTATAAGACCTATGCCTATTTTGACTTCAGTCTACCTTGTATTTAAGCTAACATAAGGTATTTCAGTTCCATTTTCTAGGCCCAAATCACTGGTGACCAGGTATTACAAGTAAAGAGAGAACTTGGTTTGAAAATACCAAAGCTTTGAAATACTCAAAGAACGGCAAATGGGCAAGTACCTTGACGCTACATTTCCAGAACTTAGTGCAGAAAAGAAAAAAATTTATTTCAACTCTTGCAATTTAATTAATTGATTTTGAGATAAGCTTAAGCAATTTGTTTTGTTTTGTTTTTTTGTTTACTTACTCATATATGTCCAAACTCATTCTATCTCAGTGAAAATACCTGTTTTGGAATATCCTACACTTAAAAAATCTAACCAAAAAGAAGTATGTGATTACTGACAAAGAAACCCTGAAAGAATACAATCACATGATATTAGCAAAAGTTCCAAGATATATAACATCAATCTTAAATGGTTTTAATTGTAACTTTTAAATGCAGATGTAGTGATCCAGAAAATTGCTAAAGGCCAGACTGTACCGCTCAGCTAACAGAGGTTTACTGCTGTCCGACATTAACGAAACAATGTAAAGAGATCAAACACACTGATGAACATGGGCTTTAGTGTGCATCTGATCTGATGTTGGCTCAGCGTAGGAAGACCAGTCAGAATAAGAGCAGAGACCAGCTTAGGCACCACTCCTAGGCCTGGACACTCAATCACAAAGCTACCACCTATCTCCACCTCACTTTCTGCAGCAGCATTGCCCTGATAAACAATGGAGCTAAAGCAACAGTTTTTTGGCCCCTGCTTGCGTGACCAATGTTCAGACTTAAGCCATCAACTGGGGGGAAAAAAAAAAACCAAACCAACTAGACCAACTGATCAATGCACATAAACTTCGGTACATGCATATTTACTTTCAGTTAGTTTATTTATCCACTATGGACAACAAATTAGTGATACAGAGATTATATATACAGAGAAGGGTTAAACAGCTGAATTCTTACACTGCAGTTATCTCAAACAAATGTTACTTGACCTACTCACTTGTTTCTGTGTAGCATAATCCATTAATACTCTAACTTAATTAGAATGTAAATTATACATATTCTTTTGATTCAATTTACATAGGTTTGAAGAATGTTATTTTCTTACTAAAATACAGCAAAAAACTGTAGGTGTTAAAAATTCTTAAAATATTTATCTTTACATGAATTATTCCACAAAAAATTATGTCTCTGCTGAAAAAAAGATACATCTTTCTCTAGTCACAGCAAATGCTGAAAATCTGGTATCTTTTCATATTTCGGGGGATGGATAAATGATTTAACCATAAAACAGATCTTCATGTTGGCTATGAAGCTGTTTCCCCATAATACCATTAATTCTACATACAGATAAATAAATGCATACGCTATGTTAAAAAGGCTCATGTAATGATGTCCAATATTTGCCATACTAGTCATCTTACAATACGCTAAAACCAGAAAGACTTCAAACACAAATTCCTACAACTTTATGCCCAGGGTCATTCTAAACACAATTTGCAAAACTGAAATTAATGTCTAATTAGAAAAGATTTCATAATAAAAGAGATTATAGAGTACATGTTGAAACCCAACAAATTTCTTCAAGTAGTATTTTAAGAATTCTGATCTTTTTCAGTCAGCAATTTAATGAAGTGTTATTAAACTCTGCATCCACTCCTCAACAATGACATCTGAAAGGTCCACATGTTAGAAAGCATTTCTTTTTTTAATAAAAACTGTGATTCATTTTGTACTGCTCAGACATCAATACTATGAGGATATGTCAAAGACTAAGCCAATTTCCATCCCGCTTTAATAGCTTAATTTGAAGAACATTACTATAGAAGCACATATTTTGTTTAACACTAATAATTGTTCAAAGCTGTTAACCACTTTGCTTCAGCTGATGGATCAACTAGGAATCACCCAGGCATCAGAAAATAGGCCCTTATCCGTAGTTGTGTTATAGTAGACTGTAGAGGCATAACACGTTATGGGTCATTTGTGAGGGCAGTGCAAAGACTGGGGCTACTCTTTATTGCCATAAAGACAAAAATTATAAAAGACAAATTAAAAGTGAGTAGTCATCTGGGAGATTAGCAGTGGGGGTACTTGCAAATTGCTGCAACAAAGTGAATCTAGCATAAAAGCAACCCAAAACTGACGACAACTCTTCTTATACTCAGAGCCCAAAGTGGAGGAGAAGAGCAGCAGATGAACAGGTTTCAACCTCGGCGAAAGAGGAGGATAGCAATTATGCACAGCATAAAATAATGCATATCAGATGATCTTCCAAGCAAGTCAAACTGGATTCTCCCATGAAAGTTAAATGGCCCTCTGCTTCCTGATCAGTGCAAACTCAGCAGGAGCCAGTAATTAGGAGCCAATGCCTCTCATAGGCAAGCCACTGCTGCTAACTTGAATGTCTGTTACCTGCCTCTAAAACAGGCCGCAGCTCCTGCATAATGGACACTCCCTGCCCTCGATGGCACAGGCTGGGCATGCAAAAGCAGGCTGCCACCATACAACAGCTGCAGGCTGGGGCTCCTGGTCTATTTGGAATTCCTGCCCACAAACACCTAAGGTGGCAGCAGCAGTACGCTAACATTGAAAGTGTGGTAGTTTGACATTTGCATCGTAAGCAGTGCTTTTTTCAGCAATTGACAACATTTCGGAAAAAGGGTCATCACCAACACTGTCTTGTGGTGTCTGAACAGTATCAAAACCAGTACTCTAGAATTTCCCTGTAGTCAGCAGATATAAATATCAAGATTAAAAGCACACACTAACTAAAATGTATTTTATTCTAAATTAACCTGATCTTTTAGTTTCAGTAACAAATGTAAGTATTAACATATTTACATAAGCGGCCAACTATTGCAGTAAAACATTTCAGTATCACCATATCGTTTAATAAATAAAAGATTAAAACATTGCAGTTCTGAACTGTGCTGAAGAATTGATTTTTTACACTGTGAAGTTCTTGTATAGTTTTCTGGCATTTGCTTTTGTCACAGGACCAGAATTACCACCAAGATAATGAATGGTCTGGATCTACTATGGCTATTCCCATATTCCCAGTTTTTTTACTAAGACTTTAGCAGGGAATCATATATAATAGTAGGATCTATACAGCATAATCTAGCAAAATTTAAGAAAAGATACTTTATACCTTAGGAAGAGAACATTATAGCCAAATCAAGTTAAATAAATCTTTTTTATTTTAATATTAAAAACATAAGAAAATTTCAACTAATAAAAATAATTTGCTGATTTGCTACAATGGGCTAAAAATGAGCTACCAACAATGCTTTTTATTCTCTCTAATCATTAGGTTAGAACTTATGTGTCAATGCCATTTTAATTCAATAGAAATTATAATACGTATGTGTTTTATGATAAAACATTTAAAGGATTTTATATCTGTGGGGATCTCGGGAATCAAAGTTTTGCTGTTTCTACTCCCAAGCCATCTGTCAGCTTACTAACATCCAGTGGTGAGCAACAGTTCACACAGGCTCACTGTTGAATCACAGAAATTCTCTAAAAGCTAGCCAGATTACATTCATTTTGTGATATTTGGGCTGTTTACAAGAAGCAGCAAACAGAACAGAATCTGATCCATTTCATGAACCTTTTTCAACTCCACTGATGCTCCATTATCCACCCTCATACACAGGAGTCCCAACTCTCAGCAGCATTCCTCTGTATCACCACACTTACTTTCATTTTAAACAGCATTATGCAATTGTATTATTTTCAGTCAGAAGATGTTTTAAATTACACATGCTATTCCAGAACAAACATTTTCAAGTTGCGAAGTAAAGATTCAAATGCTCTCTTACCACTTTTGCAACATAAGGTGCATCACTGCCAACTGACTTTGAAGAATTAACATCAGCTGTTAAAAAGGAAGCATTTATTAGTAGTGGGAGAGGAAGCTGTTACAAAACATACACTTATTTGCTATGCAGCATGGACAAACAAATGACAAAGCAATTAAGTACATGAACATGTATCAGTACCTTAGATTGTGGTGAGACAACTACTCTATATGGCCAGACTACTCATATGGATATGGTATGGCATGCTCCCTTCTGTTTCAGGAGAACAGGCAGTTTACTAAAGGAGTTCTTTTTTATTATTCAGTAACTTTTTCCCAGTCAATAGCATTTCTTTCCTTCTCTAAGACTGTGATGAACATACACAGTTGTGAACAAAGATGAAAAACATATTCTATACTATTCTGCCATGTCACGTATCCAGAAGTGACTTTCTGTTGCTACTAAGCTGTTGATATTTGTGACAGAAGGAGATACACATTTAAAGGACATCAAGTTAGGCAAGCATGAAGTACAGTCAGGGGCAATTTGCATTTGCATTTGTGCAAATGATTGGGAAGCAAGCAGAGGGCTAGCTTTGGCTTGAACAAAGCAGGAATTCTTAACACGAAGAACTACACAATTTGAGTGAGCTGGAACTCCAGTCTCAGTAAATCTAGTAGCTCATTGAGCAAGGCTGAGTAAGTAGTAGAGGGTTTCTCTGGCAAGAAGCCACCCACTGGTCCTGTTTTTCTTCTTAATCCACTTATGCTGCAGTCTGTTAATTTTGAAAGCAGGACAGATTATTAATTTTTTTTTTCAACTCAGTATTCAATTCAGTGCAACTTTTTCACCAAGAAGAGGAAGACCACAAATGCATAGGAAAAGAAAACCTTATTATCATGATCACATTAACTTTCATCCCTTCAAAATTGTTTGGAAAATTACTAGGGGCAATCAAGTTTTATTAATTCCCTGAGGTATCCTCAAGACCTCTCCTATCTGTTCAAATAACAGAGATACTAAGTATGGAACACTACCCACTAAAAGAAGTTCTCCTTGAATTCAATAAACAGCATTGCAAAACAAAATCTGTGCTGATGCTTTGAATGGTACAGTCCAAGATTTCAATTTGTTTTGAGCACTGCTTACATAAAAATAGCATATGACTTATGTCAGAAGTTCACAAGGCAATGAAAAAGTCAAAAGCAGCACCAAAGTCAAAACCAGCCAAAATACTGGCTGATCAGTAGCCTCCATAGAATATGCTTAGACAGTTTCAGTTCAGAGCTTGTGATGTAAGGACACTTATGCAAAAATCCCTTCTTTCAGCCAGACCAAAAATCAAATTTAAATAAATGCTAAACTATCCTTTCACTGCTAAAAAGTAATAAAGATTTTGGTTTAAAAAAAATGAATGAACTACCACTGGAATCTCATACAAGAACAGTGCTTACAATGACCATTTGTCCACTCTTGTCTTTTTTTCCAACACCATGAACCAAGCTATGGTTGTAGTAAAAAAAAAAAAAAAAAAATCACTTGAAGACATTCTGCGTTTCTAACTTAGGGTCAATTTTTCATTGCTTTGAATAAGAATAAACATCTCACTCTCCATTTTAAAGCATTATCAAAGATAACTACACTTACCAAGGTATAGGCGTCCAAAGCCTCCTTGCCCTACAGGGACACCTAATTTCCATTCTTTTCTTGAGGTATCTGCTAGAACCTCCCCCACAGCAAACACTTCAGCAAGTTTCCTTTTTGCAGGGGCTCTTTTTCCAGCAGTCTTCTTATTATTTGGCATTTTCCCTGGAGGGAAAGGAGAGAAGGGAAGGAAAAAGAAAAGAAAACTATGGGTTACATACTGACCGGATTTATTTTATATAGGAATCTGTTAGAAGCATGAAAAAGTATGGATTGTTTAAGTTTTAATTTGTTACTACAAAGATACTTTGAAAGAAATACAGTAAGTAGTTTCATTGGCATGAATCCTAACAGAAAAAAAACTACTTTTCCAGGTATCACAAAAAGATTTGACAGCAAAAATCTTCACGAGAGAAACCTATTAGAAGACCTTGTATAATACATGCTAGAAAAACCTCAGAATCTATCATACTCAATCAATCACAACTGACTGTAGGTCTAAAGTTAGGAAAAGGTAAATTAATGAAATAAAGCTCATCAGTTTTCCTGGAGTGAAACTTGCTTACTGAAGAAGTGTCATATAGTCCAAGTGCTCATACCCCAAAAATTAAGCCATTCAAACAGTTAATTATTTTTTCTCCTATGTAACTGCAAGCAACAAAAATGGAAGTCTGCTTATATTGTTCACAGGGCAGCATTTAGTAGATCATCAACAAACTAGTACATCACTACCTATTTTGAGATCATAAATGTAGAAGTATTACCGTTGCCTTCTCCCAGCTTCAGGTCTCAGATAAGCAATATTTCCAGAAGTAATGTAACAGCCCACTGGAACCAAATAAGTGCATCTTTCTGCAGAACAGGCCTCATTTGAGTTTTTAGGAGAGCCAGATTTTGATTCAGTAAAAGAACTTACTGAATATGTAGCCATGATACGGCAAAGAGTGCACTAGATCTCTTTATATGAAAGGCCTTCATAATTTGTTTTACAAAGACCTGATCCTTCCCTCTACCTTATGAAGATAAAAGGCATACAGACACATTTATTTTCTAAAAGACACCGTTCCAACGGGTGGGATTTTATTATCATTATTTTATTTTGCTTGAGGAAGCAGGAAGGAATATTAATACACAATTCAGGAAGTTTCTGGGTAACAAAATAACTTTCTCCCATTACTCTAGCTACTCAATACAATAACCCTAAGCCAAATGCAGTTACCTAACATCAGTTTTCCTCTTTTAGTTCTAATGTTGCTCTAGGACTTTTTTTTAGTTTCCAAAACAGAAAACCACATAACTATGACAGCTGTTCCAAAAGAAGCTTTAAGCAGCTTCTCAGGACACCCAGATCAGGAAAAGGATTAAAACAAAGGACAGACTGAAACCATTAGAAGTGGTGGTAATGGGAAAATAAACCAAAAGTCTGGAGCCCCAGGACTGACTCAGGTAAGCAGAAAAAGAAAGCACAAAAATCAGCAGTTTTGCCTAATGACTCAGATGTAGGACAAGATCACAGTCATTCAGAGATAACAAGATTCAGTCATCTGAAGGGTACAAAAACATATATAAAATGAGCATATTGTCCTCAAGCTAAGAACGATATAAGAGACATGAAGAGGGCTTGAAGGACTGCATCCCTTGACCTCTGAGTTACTACAAATAATTCCAGTGAGACTCGGACAGATGCATTTAGGTGCTTGAATGCTGGACAGACTGCTGTTCAGTAAAAGAAAAATTTGTAGCCTCTTTTTCAACAAAGCTAGAAAGCCAGTAAAATAGAACTATTGATACGCTTCACATCTTTGACATTCACAGCAAGTCTCTTGATAGTAGCCTCGTTTGAGAGGGAATTAAGTTTACTTAAAATAGCTCTTCAAGAGTATTAAAGGAAGAGCTGGTGTTTCCCTCTTTTTTTTTTTCCCCCCTCCCTTTTTTTGTTTAACATGGTCAATAATTGTATGCCTGAAGGTATTTAGTTAAAAAAAAAAAAATTAATGACAACTTCCCTTTATCCATAAAAGCAAAAATTCAAAATGGACATAAGTTTGAACGTCCCCAGCTGGGAACTCTGCCCTTAACAAATACACTAGATACACATACATGGTTTCTTGGCTGTCTATATTCATACCCATCTGTTAAGATGGCACTGTGCCTACTTACAAGTTGGTCAAACTATCAGTAGGCCATAGGTGCCAAACACTGATCGCTTTCAATGGGCAGCATGCACAATACTAAGCACTCACTCTTTTGCAAAAAAGCTGTTATCCATGGAAATATTTTAGCAATGGCTGCACATGCTTTCACATTTATTTGGATAAATCCATTCAAGGATCTTGTATTGATTGAAACCAAAAACACCTGGAGACTGCAAAAATTTTCTACATGAAAATGTAGAACTGGGGAAAAAAATAATTAAAAAAGATAATGACATTTTAGTGCAAATTCTATCACCCTATGTGCTTTTCAACTCACAATACAGCAAACATGAGGGGTTTGTCAGGAAACTTATGAACCAGCAAACGTGATGTAGAGCTGCCTACTGTACATGGCACAACTGGAATAAAGTCATCTACTTCTCCCTAAAATCACCTTTAAAAATTCACACACATACAAAAAGTCACCTTTAACCTTCCTGAATCTCAATTACCTCTCCCCATCAGTAAATGGAAATATTTTCTATCCCACAGGTACTGTGAAGCTTAATTCATTAGTGCCTGCAACCATGCCGAAGTCCTTGGAAACAGAGTGCCATAGATGTCAAGTACTATACTATCATTCAAGTATCAAACAGACCTGACCCTACTTAGCTAAGATATCCGACAAGAACAATTTTCAAGGTGCATGAATATAAACAGCAGCATTTTATGTGGCTACAGTATGCTCAAAACAAAGATTTTGCTACTAACAAGTATGAATAACAGAAGTCTATTTGTCTAAACTCTCTCCAGAAGCCTCTTAGTACTACAAAGGCTATTTCTCCTGCTTCTCCCTAATAAAACATCTTGGAAGAAACTGAATACGCTGTACTCGAGATATGCAGACAATTTTGCATCAATAGTGCTATTAGTGGTGTTATCTTTACAAATGTTGTCTGCAATGCTTGCTACTCTAGTGATACTTGAACTCTTAGAATAAATATGAATAGCCACTTCTCAATTTCGTTGGCATCCATTCTCAATAAAACTCTAAAATTAATATAAATTGAATTTATTTTGAAGGAAGTATTTCTGCTGTGTGACAAGTCAGACTGTTTTTTTCCTGATCCTCCTCCTCTTATTCTCTGGAAATTGTCGTTTTTATGGTTGTTTATCTCAGTAGAACCTACTTTCATTCTCAACACAGAGGAGGCATGCTGGTGACCTGTGCTCCTCTTCATGAATAGGTAGTCCCAGCAAGACCGCAAATCTACACATCAGTAATACTGTTCATCAGTCATAGCAAGACATCTAAGTCTGCCTGCAAAAAAGGAAATAAAGACAAGCAAAAAAACAAAAACAAGTTTTTGCTCAAGGAGTAGGAGGGAAAGAACAGGACACCTTAAGACTTCTGAATACTGCAGAACTGTTTCATAGGAGCGACCACCAAAAAAAAAAAGTACCTGAAGTATCAGTGACTTGTAATACCAAGTGAGGTAGATAGTGAACAAAGACTTTCTTGCATAAGTTGGACTTTCTGTGACTGATCTATCATTTTGCTACATTTCTGAGTATCACTGTAATCTCATTTCCTGGCGATTCAGACATCTGACAAATAATGGTACCTATGGAGGAAGAGGCACTAGGGTTCTTTCCCCAAGACATAAGAAAACGTCTTTTCAGACAAAATGAGTGAATGTACGTTGGTGGGCCACAATTAATGAGAAGCATTTCATCACAATAGCACCATACTGGTCAAACTGAACACTTTTTTCTCTTTGTTTTGGATTTTCTCTTTTTTTGTTAAACACACTAAGATGACTTTTTAAAATTTCAGAATGCAGCTTGTTCAGAGACAGGAAACATTTACAAGAGGAATTACTGTGTTGCTAACTAACTTTAAATGCTTTCTCAAGAATACGTTTTCTTCTTTTGAAAAGTATTTAAGGTTCTCCTGAGAATCCTGAGCATCGCTCAAATAGTTATTACAATAAAGAACACAGTAAGCTATATAAGATGCCAAATCATCTGTCACTCCAAATCACCTCACCACCAAACCAACAGCAAGTACCTGTGCATATGAGACACTCAAAGGTTTTTGGATAGTTTGGCACACTATACAAAAATCAACAGCTCTGAAATTCATTAGGAATCCTACCTCATTTGGCGACTATCCCCAAGAATTAAGTGGGCAGCTTATTCCTACAGATACAGGATTCCCTATGAATTAATAAAAGCTTTACGCACAAATTGAAAACGAAAGAAAACAATAGGGTTCACCCTGCCTGCAACTGTGTAAGTCTTAAAAAAATGGCAAATGGCGAAAAACAGGAAGTGAAGAAAAAACACAACCACTAACAGACAGAAAACAGCTTAGCCCAGTTCTTACACAACAGGCCTCTCCTAATCCTAAAATTGCAGATTTTTATTTGTGATTTGTAGGTTCGTATTTAAAAAAAAAATACTATGTTTACTTTAAAGCAAAAGTCAAGAATGCCTCCCAACCAAGGTGATATTTTGTTTATTTGCCACATCGGGATGTTCGAAGGTTACAAACCTCTAAGTGGCACTAAGCATAGCTTTTACTCCCCCTCCCCCACCTCGCCTTAATGCTAAAAAAAACCCCAAACCAACCCCTAACACGAAGGAAAGCAACCTAGGCCGTTGCCATCACAGACAGCTTTAGAGCCAGCAGCCCATGAAGGCGAGGGAAGCGGGGTGCAGCAGACCCCTAGGGTGAAACTGAGGGAGCCCTTACCCACCTGTCCCCATTCACAGAATCATAGAATCGTTTAGGTTGAAAAAGACCTGTAAGATCATCCAGTCCAACTACATTCTCTCCCTCCCTGCTGACCCAGGAAGATGCCTCCGGTGCCACGGGCTGGGACGGCGGGGGGAGCAGGGAAGGTACCTTCCTTACCCCCGGTAGCAGACGATTGGGAGGAACAGGGC